TATGGCATTCATATTACATTTTTAAAAGGAAATAACGTTACATTTTAAAAGGAATAAATAAAGGAATAATAATCAAATCTAAAATTCAAGCACTTTGAAACGCAAAACGCACAGTGTCCGCTGTGAACTGACAAAACGGAATGTGATAAAGAATGTCAAAACGGCACATTCATTGTCATCATCATAATGACATTTTTAAAAAGAAAGGCTCTCACTATGTGCTTCAGCATGGCTTTGCATTCATTGCATAGCCCAGGCTGGCATTGAACTCCTGGTGATCCTCCTCAGTGCTGGGATTATGGGCATGTGCTGCCATGCCTGGCTCATAATGATATGCTTTAGGATTTGTGCTATGTAAGCTCCTAATTTACAATTTTTTTTGGTGGGGATAGGATCTCTATGTATTTCAAGCTGGTCTTGAACTCATGGTGATGACCCTTTACCTTAGCCTCTCCAGTGGCAGGGTCATAGGCATGGCCATCACACCTGGTTGCTCTACAACTTCTCATAAGTTCAGTTCATTTAATGCTCACAGTGAGCCTACATGGAATCTTTTACTGTCTTTATTTTACAGAGAGGCAAACTGAGGTATGCAGTTCACAAAGCCAGGGCAATCTAATTAGCCAGGATTAACCTAATTGTAGTCCTATAGGCTTAATCCCCTGCCTCTCAAGAAAAAGGCCAATTTCTGGGACCAGTAGGTATCATAGCACTTTCTACCTGTCCCCGAAAGGTCCCCCAGGGCATCTCAGATGTTGCACAGTGAACATGCATCCACCTGTGCTCAGGGCTAAGCTAGGAAACAAAGAGGAGAGGTGATTAGAACTCTGTTCTCCCTGCTCTGGGGAATGCAGTGTAGACTGTCTCAAACCCACCAACATCTGAGATAGCAGGATTGAGTCTTGTTTCCCAAAGAAATCTCATGGCTGTGAGAAATCTCATGACTTCCTCTTCTAACCCCTCTGCCTTGGACAACACTAGCACACAGAAGCTCCTTAAGGCCAGCTGCAAGTTCTCCATTCCTGCTTGGTAAGAAAAGGAACATTGTTCCCAAGAACAGAAAGGATTTGGGATGGAACAGAGTGCACTGAAGCTGGACCGAGACAATCAGTTATGTTATGCAGCCAAAGGAGCGGAGGCCTGTCTCATGCCCAGAAAACATCTTCCGCAGGGCTGGCTCGGAAGGAGCAGGATTCAGGTTTCTCAGGGCTGAGCGCACTGTTTTGAAATGAATGCCTCACAATGAGAGTCAGCAGTTTGGGTTGAGGTTTCATGGGGATGAAGCTTCATTCTGGATCTTGCCAGAGTTGGGAAATCAAATTCTCTGCATCCAACCTTAAGGATTCTTTTTCTAGAACTGCCTGTTGTTCCTGCCCCACCATTATGGGCCAGTGAGGGCGGGCCAGGGGTCTCCCTTCCTTCTCAAGCATCAGTGTCACCAGGCTTGGTGGCAAACACAGGAGGTGAAGTGGGGTTTTTCTTTGTAACTTTTGGGGTGTGATTACAAAAGTAACCCCTTGCCTTGGAAATGATGACTGTCATCTCTAACTTTAAGCATCTGCCACCTGCCAGGCTCCACACTGAAGAATTTGCCTCAGTTACCTCATTCAGTCCCCCAAAACCCAAAGAAGTGGGTTTATGGCTTTCAGTTTACATGCAAAGAAACAGATCTGTAATGATTAAATAACTTATTCCGAGTCACCCAGTGGGCAGAGCTGGGGAACAAAGCCCCAGTTAACCCCTACACTGTGTTACTATAATTCAAGGTGATATATGTGAATTCCACAGAGGAGGATAAAGGAAGATAAGACTTTTCCTCTGTGCAAAACTGTCCTGAATGTCACCACCATATCACCCAGAAGTACTCTTTCACTTGTTTAATGCCCTGAGTGATACCCAAGGTCAGCTGGCCACTCAACTAACTGCTTGCACTTTCACTCCGAATCCCCTCCTGCTCCCCACCCAGCATCACCAAGTCCTGTGTATTACAGCACCAACAAGCCAGCCCTTCCTCTGTCCTATCCCACCCACCCACTCATTAAGAAGTGGACTGATATTAGTCAAGCATCAGGGTGTCTGCCAGGGGGTGTTTCCTGGTGAACCAGATGGAGGCAGCACCTGGCCTCTTACATCTGTGCCCCCACCTTTGTTCAGGCCCTGGTCCCTCTCCTAGGACTGTTGAAATAACACCCATGACTACGTTTTCTGTCTCTGGCTTCTGTGCTCTGTCCAATGCCTGGCACTTAGGAGGAAGGGGAATGAAAGGATGGGAGAATGGATGAACCTTCCAGAGTAACCCAGGGTCTCTCTAAAAGATAGTTCGAATCATGTCTCTCTTCTTAGAAAACTTGCAGAGCCTGCTGATTTCCTGTGGCTTACAGTCCCCACGTCTTAGTGTGATGCCCAAGGCTTTTCATATCCTGGGTCACATCCGCTCCAAGGGGCTGCTCCACCTAAACCAAATTCCTCACCCTTTGAAGCGTCATGAATTTTCTTCTGCCACTAATTGGCAGCTCACCAAGGTTCGTCCTGTGCTTCCTGTGTTTCCCAGACTCCTCCGCTCTGAGCCCAGTGTGGGCGGAGGGAGGAGCTCTGGCCGAGGGAGTGCTCCTCAAGCCCCTTAACCTCCAATACTGCACGAGTAGTGGGCTAAGTGACAGAGATGTTCCAGTCTGTGACCCCGGCAGGGCCCACCCTCCCGTGATCCTGCTGTTTCTGGCTGGAGAGACCTTTTCCTCCTTCCTCAGCAGCTGCTCTTAAGTTTAACTCCCAAGGACCCCATGTGGGGCCCTCTCCTTGCCTAGGAGTCAGCCCCTCCCACCCCTCTGCTCCCAGGACGGTTGTCACTTCTGTTTCAGTCCAGAGGACAGGCTGGCTCACAGTGGTTTAGATGGTCTGATGCTACACTGAGAGGCCCCAGAAGACAGGGACTGGGCCTGCTTAATTAATTTGATTGTGTTTCTCCCACCGGACTTAGCTTTAAGCTTTATACTCAGGAGCAGCCAGTGTGCAGTGGACATGAATTAAGTGAGAGGGAAAACATTTACACCCTGAAACCACTATGTATGAAATGAGGAGACAGAGAAAAGCATTTGGCTCATCTCAGCCTTGAAATTTGGGGAGAAAGGGAGGGTTTCAGAAGAGGAGGGTGCGGTGGAGAGGGGAGGGAGATGAAGGTCCTGAGAGGAAGGAGGGCTCTGCCAGAGAAAGGCCCTGAAGTCTGATGGTCACTAATTTTCCCTCACTTCTGCAGGCAGAATTAGAAAAGACACTGGGTGTCTCCTAACTGCTTACATCCTGGGTACCATAGTGACTGGAGAGCGGTCACCATGGCAACCCATTGTAAACCATCACAGCCTTCTCTAGCAGATTGTGAGTGAGGGTTGAAAAGGCATAAAAACAGGGGTATCAGGGGGCTGGGGATTTAGCTCAGCGGCGTAAGCATCTGCCTTGCAAGCAGGCAGTCGTGAGTTCGATCCCTGGTACCGATAAAAATGAAAAAGACAAAAAACAAACAAACAAAACAGGGGTATCCGAGGCAAGGGACACACAATGTGCTGGCCAAAGTCCCAGGGAAATTGCTAGAGATCCTGTGTCAGTCATCAGAAAGCCATACCATTCACCCCAGCCCATGACCTCTCACTTAGGGGATAGGAACCTCAAAGCATGCCACAGACAGTGACCCCACACCGAGATAGTGTGTTGTGTGGGTGCAAGTGTGCATTAGAAGACAGATCATCCACAGAGAATGTTGAGAGTGAGGGTCTGAGCTGCCCAGTGTGGGATAGCGACTGGGGGTGGTGGTGGTGGTGGTGGTGGTGGTGGTGGTGGTGGTGGTGGTGGTGGTGCCAGTATTCCCCAGGGATTTAGGTATCAGGGTCTGTGCTGAGGACCCCAGCCTCACTCTATAAAGAAAGTCAGGGGGAGTGTCTGCCATGGGGCTGTCTAGCTTCCTACAATAGTGTACCCAGGCAGAGCAGGTCACCTGTCAGAGGAACCAGTTCACTGGCAAATCGGACAGGCAGCAAACCCCAGGTCCCTGCTTAAGTTCCCTTCTGCCCCAACCACACACGGGGGGATGCTTCCTCTGAGGGACGGAGTTTAAACAACCAACTGCACTAGGAGGTGGGTGATTCCAAGGGAGGAAAAAGGGAGCTGTTTTTCCTCTCCCCAGCCCAGCGCAACCCCAGCCCAGCCCCAGCCCTGGGAGCCTGAGCTCAGGGCCGCTGAGATCGGCCACCTGGGGGTCTCAGGCGTGGGCCGGGGCTGAGCTGCTGACCTCCAGAGCAGCCTGAGGACAGAGAGCTAGGCGAGAGCCATGATCGGATTGCCAGGGATCAGAGAGCCCGCTGTCCGGTCATGGTCCCCTGGCGCTAAGCCCCGGCAGCCAAGGCTGGGGGTGCAATTTTATCATTAAAAAAAAAGAAAAGTGCTCACTCCTCAGAAGATCTGATCAGCCTCCTCCGCCCCCACCTGTCTCTTTGGACAGTCAGGATGAACAGGGTCTGCTCGAGGAAGCCCTGGGGTGCTCTGACCCCAAAGTCGTAGACGTTTTGCCCCTGGGCAGCAGCGGATGGGGAGCCGCCGCTGCATGACCCTGGCTGGAGCGAGGGGAGAGGGCAGCGGTGAAGACCCTTCCCCACCCGGCGGCAGTGGAGGCACGGCCACCAGCCTCGGTGTAGCGGGGTGCGTCCCCCGCTGCCTGCGCCCCGACGACTCAGCGCGCTCGGCCAGCGCGGCTGCGGGGCGTGAGTAAAAAGGGATGAGATGGAATTGGGGGACACAAAGCGGGGTCCCGTCCTTGGAGCCAAGCTGGAGGGGCGGAGGTGCCAGACCCGGGAGCAGAGGCCGCAGCCATCGGCTTCTGTGTGCGCCCCTTCCTCTGGGACGCGGCCCGTTTCAGCACCGCGGAGGCGGACAGCGCCACCCGAGAGCCCGGCTCCCGGCTCCTGCCCTGCAACCCGGCAGCCCCCCGGCGCCCCAGGCTCTCGGATCCTTACCCCGTCGAAGCTGCAGCTGCTCCGCGCCTCGGTCTGGCAGGGCGCCTGCTTCTCGCTATGCCCAGGCTCTGGGCAGCGCTCGGATCTCTCCGCCTCCTCCACCCCTCGGCCCAGGACCCTCCTCTGGGGACAGAGCCGGAAGGAAGGAGGAGCCGGTCGCCTCCCTCTGTCTGTGAAAGTCAGGTGAGGCTCTGAAGCCTCACAGCAGGTCCGACTCAGAAGAGGCAGAAGCCACCTCTCCATAACCCCGTCCCCGAGGGAGGGAAGAGGGGCTGAACCGGAAGCAAGAAAGCAGCTAAGTCCCTCTGTCAACTTGGGACCCTGTCCTGACCAGGGGCCCTTAGACTCCTTCCTGGGATACTTTACCAGGAGGGCACAGCACGCTGCAGGCAGACACAACAGATATCTAGGAGTTCGGAGTTTAAAAGTGAGGCGATCAGACGTGCACGCACACACGAGGTAGGATTCAAACAATGCATCGCATGTTTACCTTAAACGTTATTACAGTAAAAGACACACTGCTACGAAATATCCTCAGAGTCCTTGCCCTTGCTTCAGAGACACTCACCCCCATCATCTTGTCACTTTCTGAAGCACTTCTAGGAGTTCTTTTGTGAGTGTCTTTAGTTGTGCTGTTGTGGTGCCTTGATGTCCTGAATCCGTTCAAGACCTTTATCTTTCACAGTGGTTTCAACCTTGAGAAAAGATCGAACGTGGTCCAGTGCCAGAGCTGGTGGAAAAGATGGGTGAGGATGCACCGGGAGGTGTTCAGAGCTTGCATCTCTGTTGGGTGCACTGGGCAGCGGCATTCACCTTACACATCGAACCTCATGAAGACACTCAGGAAAGAGGACTGCCAGACTGCTTCAGAGTGGCTGGAATGGCAGGATATGTGTGTTCCAAGCAAAGGGGAAGGTTTATTTTGGGGGGGGGGCGGATCATGGGCAATGTAGCTTTTTCTGTATAAACTTTTAAAATTTAAATATTCACCAGATATTTTGATCACCCTGTGTGTTTCCAACCTTAGGATTCTCTTTGGGATAGCATGTGTTCTCATAGAATTTTTGTTTCCTTCAATCACATCAGACAACACTAGATTCTCTGAGCTAAAAATGAAAACCTGCACTCAACCGGTTAGTCTTCATGACTCTCCACTGAAGCCAGAAAACGTAAACATTTTGGAAAAAATAAATTTCTACAACGACACTTCCACATTCCCCTACATGCACTATCCTCACTTCAGCTGGGTCTCAGGACACCTCCCTAGGGAGGAAGACCGAACCCCACCACTCTCACTGGTTCTGGAGCAGGAGCAGGTGCCAGCAGCGACCTGGACCTTCTTGTTCGGAAGGAGGCCTGGAACTTCAGGTCAAGATCCTCACAATGGACCCTGTCATGGGAATCTCTCTGAGGACCTGAAGCCCACGGTGCTCCCTGAAAACACCCAAACAATTGCCTATCTGCAAAGCAGTCTCTATTCACAAGGCTTAAGACCCAAAATTCATGCATTACTTGAAGAAGAAGATGATGGACATCATTTTTAGGGAGAAAATAAAGAATTAGGATGAGAGGTAAGAAAACACACACGCATGTGCATGTACACGCACACCCCTAAAGATGGGAAGCAAACCAGGAATACTTTCCCCAAAGAAAGATCAAGCTTGTGCAAATTCAGGAGATTTTGGTAGTGGGAAAACAAATAAATTGAAGTAGTAAATCAACAAAAAACAAAGTTGGAGCCACAGAAGTTGGAGGAGAAGAGAATTCTTATTTTGTTCTCTGGATTTTGAAAGAAACTTAAAATGAATTCAACACAAGAGAAAACATAAATTTTTTTGGCATCAGAAATCAAACTCAGGACCTTGCGCTTGCCAGACAGCCACTGTGCCACTGACCTGTATCCCTAGCCTGAGAAAACATAATTCACAAGACTCTGCCTTATGAAGATCTTTAGTGTTCTTATTCCAGAGAATCGCCAACCTGTCTCAGCTATCAAGTATGATTATTTAGTCTTTATTGCCAGGGAATGTTTAGTTTCCTCTAATACCAGTAATTTATGCTACACACAAAAGCTGTTTTCTGTTAGTTTGTCCTCCAGGAAGACTAGAAACAGATGGTTATGGTCTCTCTATTGTCCAAAAACACTTCACAGTTCCAAAAGAACCTTAAATCCTGCTTTTGGAGAAAGTAGAGGTTATCATGAGATGATTTTAAAACATCATTCTGAAAAGTAAAAATTCTCTTTAGGTTTGGTTTCTGTATAAATCTTTAAAATTTAAACATTCAGTGGATAGAATGATAGCATTTCTAACGGGGGGGTGGAGATGGGTGGGTACAAGGCCACAGAACTGACCGTGATGTGGAGAGGTCCCCTGAGTCTGGAGAGAGAAACATTTGGCACAGGCCTGGCACATACTTGATCCTTAGGAATGATGTCTGTGACAATAGTGATCCCTGAAGAATCCTGAGTGCCTGAAAGGCAGAAGTGGATGTGCTGAGACTGGGAATGAGGAGAAAGAGTCTAAATTGGGGTTCTGTGGGAGGACCATGATCCCCAGCCAGCAGGAGCCAGGGACCCTGACGAGACCAGTTCTACCCACCCGTGAGTCAGGGCCAGGGAAGTGAAAGGACGCCTGCTGACCACAACCAGAGGGAGCAGATCTGACCTTGAACGTGCATTTTGGCCCAGGGCACCCCACTCATATGTAGCCTCCCCACATGTTGATCTATGTTGTCTTTTGGAATTTGCTTTTATCAATCAATACTGTGGGCAGGAGTCAGGGATGTCGCGTGTAGCTATGGTTCATTCAACTTCACTGTGTAAATGTGTAATTCTATAGGCCTAGTGTCTGTGTGCTTTAAAAAACAGAGGAGGATCCATTTTTGCTATTCTGATTGCAGAAAATCTCAGTGCATGCAAGTTTTAGAGCTAGTAATGATCTCACATTTACAGGCTGGGGTGGAAAGGCACATTGTCTCCAGAGGTGGGCGACAGGGCGGCTATTTCTACTGGGGACCATATGGTGCCCAGTGTGTGGAAGGACACATAGTCTGATAAGGAGATAAGCCAGACCAAAGGCAATGTAAACGGAGAAGCCCAGTTAGCAGTCAGGTCTTGTTCTGGCAGGTGGTCTAGATTCTGGGCAAATGCCGAGCAGTTTACGGGAATGCTTGTGGGAAGTAAAGAGTTTATGAGGAGGCAGGCAGGCGCCCTCTGCCTGAGGAGCAGTGTCAGCCAGTGTCCTGCTTAGGAAATGGGACTGCACGGTTGGCTGGGAGGGTGGAGGGAGAGCCCCAAGTTGGGCAGAAGCTATTGTGTTAGTCTTTAAAATTCTACCCAAAGATCATTTTTTAAAGCTTTTTTTTTGGTACCAAGAATCAAACTCAGGAACTTGTACTTGCCAGGCAGGCACTTATGCCACTGAGCTATAGCCCTGGTTCCCATGAAGATCATTAGAGGCCTGAGGGGTTTAATCTATCCTGGCCCACGTGGAGTCCCATGGTCAGGTCAGTTAGCAGGCAGTGGACAGGTGGAGGAGCCCTGCCAGGTCCCAGTACCAGCTCCCTCACTGCCCAGCTCTCCAGGGTCTGAGCATCAGTGCCTGAAATCCACCACCAGAACAGACCTGCTTTCACAGTCTGATCCTTCAAAAATGCAGGTAACTCCAGGAGATAGACTACGGTAAAGAGTCAAAAAGTCCTGCTAAGAAAGATCAAAGAGGGCATTTGGTGGGGTGGTAAGGCATGGAGTGGGACAGGGTCCCTGATGACCAGACACTGAACACTTGGGGTGACCATCACCCCCATCTGGAGCAAACCCAGAAAATCTGCCCTTCCCTCTAAGCCTCTTTCCCACCAAAAGAAGGTAGTCACCTTGCTATTGTTAAAGCTGGCAATTGCATAATGGATGCAAGGCTGTTTTAGTGGCTTGCCACCTGAATGTGACCACCAGCAGTGACCTATTAATAGGCAGGACATGTGCTGGGGCTTGGTACTGTTTGGCTAAACATTGTCGCTGTGGCCTGGGGTAAGCGTGGAGTTGCCTGTGTGTTTGATAACATAAACTCAGGAAATACGGTTCCTAAAGCATGCATGTCACAATCACAAAAAAAACTAGAGCACCTTCAAAGATGTGCTGAATAGAGAGACCAGGTTAGAAGTAACGGGGCAAACCAAGGTCAGCACCAGCAGGAACAAAGCCAGCCCAGCATGTCGCAGTAGCTTCCTGTGATTTTTAGTCATAGCCAAGTGATCCTCACTGGCCACGGTCACAGCCAAGGGGATTACATAAGTAATGGAATGATTTATGCAGTTATTGATTTTTAAAATCACATTTATATTGTTTCCCACTTTCCCTCATTTGTATACTGTATATCTGTGCACTGAATCTTCTATTTGCTGGTGATTATTTCTTAGGTTTTAGTCTCAGCGGTAGAACTACTCTATGGATATATACATCTGAATTCAAGAGAAGTTCTAGCAACGTCTATGAATATCAATCACTTACCAGTTCCACTAGGCATATTTTTTTTTACCAACACTTATTTTATTTTTAAATGGAATGCATAAACTGTACCCCATTGCAATTTTAATTTGCATCTCAATAAGCGATATTAAAGTTGAACATTTTCTTATGTTGGTTTATTACTTGTGTTTCCTGTTCATGACTCACCTATTCATGTCCTTCACACTTACATTAACATTTTGATGTTTTTCTTTTCAATTTTCATGAGATTTTTGAGTCAGACTAACAGAGACTTTTTCCATTTTATTTTATGAAAATATTTCCCTCAGCCTACTCAGCTTCTTGAATTCGGATAATATTTATTCTAGTGACTTGCAAACATTTCCCAGTGAGGTTTACACAATTCACTGAAAGCCTAGAAATGCATAATTCCACAGGATATATGCTGTCTACTCTTTTTTTGATGGTCTCATATAATTTGATTCTTAATGCAATTTAATATTGCTTAATATAATTGGTTTTGCTTAATATAGTTTTGATAGAAATTCTAGATGATTTTACTTGAAAGTTTTTTTGACTTTAAACAAAGGTAAATTTAATGTAAGATTTAGAATTTCTATGTTTAAAAAAAAGATTTATTCCTCTTTTTTTTTTTTTTTTTTTTTTTTGATACCAGGGATCAAACTCACAACCTCGCACTGGTCAGACAGGTGCTTATACCGCTGAGCCCAGCCCTCACTCCTCATTTTTCTTCCAGAATCTTCTCACAGAATGTTAGG